AGCGGCCCTTCCCACACCGCCCCCCCCCCCATCGCCTAATTACCGCCGGGGCCGCGGCGCGCTAACGCGGTCCAGACGCCCGTAGCAGCAGCAGCAGCAGCGAGTCGCGAATTCCTTGCTTTGGGGGGAGGGAGGTAGGGAAGGGAGGGAGGGAGAGAGGTAGGGAGGGAAGAAGGGGAGGGGGGGGGGGTTGGAGGGGAGGGAGGGGAGGTAGGGATGGAGGGGAGGTAGGGAGGTAGGGAGGTAGGGGAGGTAGGGGAGGGGAGGAGGTAGGGTGGGAGGTAGGGATGCAGGGGAGGTAGGGAGGGAGGTAGGGTAGGGGAGGTAGGGAGGTAGGGAGGTAGGGGAGAGGAGGAGGTAGGGAGGGAGGTAGGGAGGGGAGGGGAGGAGGGAGGTAGGGAGGTAGGGAGGTAGGGGAGGTAGGGAGGGAGGTAGGGAGGGAGGTAGGGAGGGGAGGGGAGGAGGTAGGGAGGGAGGTAGGGATGTAGGGAGGTAGGGGAGGTAGGGAGGGAGGGAGGTAGGGAGGGAGGTAGGGAGGGGAGGGGAGGAGGTAGGGAGGGAGGTAGGGAGGTAGGGAGGTAGGGAGGGAGGTAGGGAGGGCGGTAGGGAGGGAGGGAGGTAGGGAGGGAGGGGAGGGAGAGAGGTAGGGATGGAAGGAGGGTAGGGAGGGTTGGAGGGAGGGAGGGATGGGGGTAGGAGAGGGAGGTAGGAAGGGAGGGAGGGAGGGGAGGGGGTAGGGGAGGGTTGCAGGGAGGTAGGGAGGGATGGGGGTAGGAGAGGGAGGTAGGGGAGGGTTGGAGGGTTGGAGGGAGGTAGGAAGGGAGGCAGGCGATGTTAGCCCCCATGGGTTGTGCCCAGCCGGCCCACTGGCGTGTTTGCTTCCCCTACCCGATTTGACCCGGTGCTGGGCCTCCCCTAGGTCGACTCGGCCTCAAAATAACTACTCGACCTGGTGCGGTGCGCAGTAAACACGCCCTCGCAGGTGCTGCTCGCTAACAGCACTTGCCCCCGAAAAAAAAGTCTGTCGAGGCTATACGGGTGATCTTTGTCTTTGTTCAGCCAGCTTCCACCCCATCCCCCGCCCTCACCCCAAACATATTTCGTAGATATGGCTAAGAGATCATACAAGCGCGCTCACTCTCGCGTCTACGCGTAATGCACAGCTCGTGAATGGGGTTGGGCAAACATCGAATCCCCAATGCAGGGACGGCAGAACTCGGGCAATTGTTCGTAGAGCGCCAGTTCTGGCCGCACTTGCCAAGCGCGTGTCCGTGGTGCCAACTCTCGCCCTCTGTGCGAAAGCCCAGCGCGTGACTAACCCTAAGAGAATAGATCACGACGTTTCGATCGTAACGCAAGCAACCGTCATCAGGTGACACAAACACAGCAGGCCAACTGCTACGTCAGCAGTTACGTCAGCAGTTAGCCTGCTGTATGACGGTTGCTTGCGTTGCGATCGAAACGTCGTGATCTATGAATTTTCTAGCCACGGGACTTTATCGAAAGAAACAGAGTATGGATTCCTGCAGTCACGAAAGCTCCAAATCAAGATTAACCCTACGAGATTGTTTTGAGATGCGATTTGTATACATTATGCAAAACGGTGAACAACTTTATATATAAAAAAAAACTTCATTAAACTGTTAGAATTGTAGATATGGCTAAGATTCACCCCCACACAATATTTAGCGACATCGATCCTGGTACAATACCGTTTTGCTGCCTTCAACAAGATTACAAGATGTTTACTACCTCGCCTGGTATACAGGATGTTCGTGGGTTCGATCCCGACCCTGAAGCCTTCTGTATATTTGGAGTTTGCGTGTCTCTCTCTCTCAGTGGTCGCATGGATTTTCTCTGGGTCCTTTGGGTTTTCCCCTCCACATTTAGAATCAACATCACGCCTTCAGAGCTGCTATGAAATGTCCATATCATGATACGCTACTTCGTTTAGCTATCATCTGTGGCCAGGTCGCTTCTAAAAAAACAAGGGCTGTACCAGTAGCTCCTCTACTTCCGAACATTCCACACTTACGAACTTCCAGAGATACGACGAACCTGTCCGTATGTCCAGTTGCCCGTTTGGACCGAGAGGTCATAAGTTCAACCACCGCGCAATAGGCGACAGTGGTATCATCTACATCTGCAGAACACGCAGAGCCACACTCAACGAATGCGTTGAGTGTGTGTTTTTTGATAATTGTTTTTTTACCCTTTTATCTGGCAATAAAATTGACACCTTTTTTACCAGGAGTCATGTTTGCATAGACCATAATACCTGCAGTCATAATGCAAACAAAAAACACAACTCTGATAATGTATGCACTGTCATTGAAGTTGATTGGTTCACACCCGAGACAGCTTTCCTTAGAGCCTAGTCTCACATGGTGTTGAACCAGATGACGCCAAAAGGCTCTAAGGAAAGCTGTCTCAGGTGTGGACCAATGCAACTTCAAGGACAGTGCATACATTATCAGAGTTGTGTTTTTTGTTTGCATTATGACTGCAGGTATTGTGGTCTATGCAAACATGACTCCTCGTAAAAAAAGGTGTCAGTTTTGTTGCCAGATAAAAGGGTAAAAAACAATTATCATAATTTTTTACTGGCAAATGAGGTTCCAATGGTGTGTTTTTTGTTTGTCGTTTGTGCCTCTGTGTGTCTTGCTGCCAATGCAAGCGGCACTATCACAAGCATCGATCGTTAACGTTTTCCCCTGAATAAGATTTCCAATTAAAATGTCACCACCCCCACAGCGCCCCCCCCCACCGCCACCCTCCCCCAGTTTAATGTGCAGGAATGTACCGTGCTCTGCTTTATTGTATTTTTAACTTCTGCAAAATGCAACAACAACATTGACGTAGTTGTTGTTGTTGCTGCTGCTGTAGAATTCTGGTTGTGCATTACGGTCCAACCACAACCAAAAATATCCCGTATTGTCTGTAACAGACTGTTTGGGGCACGTGCTGTTAGCGAGCACCTATGAAGGCCGGCAGGGCACACGAGGGGGTGGCGATGTTTACACACCGCACTAGGTACTCATTTGAGGCTGAGTCGACCTAGGGGATTGCCAAGGACCGGTTCAGATAATCGCCACTGATTTTGGCCGTGAGCGGGTCGCCGGGTTTGTAGCGCACGCAACGCGCTAACCGCTACACCACCGCTCCCCAGGTCCAACCACCACCACCACCACAACCAGCACAACCACCAGCACAACCACCAGCACACATGAGCTGTGTTTGCCTTGGCGCTGCCGAGAGGGACATGTGTTCCTGGGTTCCGTAGCCCGAGGAGCGCCAGGCGCGTCTGCAAAATATAAAATCGGAGATAAATCAGAAACACGTGTTCCGCAAACTCTGCTGGAGCGACGTTAGCTTTCTCAACTCTCTCCGCATAGCGTCCAGGTTATCGTTGTTATTATTATTATCAACGCTCCGACTGCCAGTACCGGTTATCATTGAAATGTTATCTTTTTCTTTGCCACTTTCTATTGTTGTAGGGGTGAGAAAACGTGTGTTAGCGTGCATGTTTTATACAAGAGACATTACGGGGGAGGCGTGGTGCAGCGGTTAGCGCGCTGCGTGTGCTACGAACCCGGCTAGACCCGTGTTCGATTCCCGCTCGCGGCCCAACCTCAGTGATGATTATCTGAAGCAGTCCCGGGCCTCTCCTAGGTCGACTCAGCCAAGTGCGATGTGTACAAAGAGTTGCCACTAGGAAGACAAAGGTGGCGGCCGTGGTGGTGCTGGCCAACCACTCTCTCGTCATCCGTTCTGGCCTTCATAGGTGTCCGCTAACTGCACTTGCCCCAACAGTTACAAGCTATACGGGGCGTCTTTGACTTTGTCTTCAAATGAGATGTTATGGGGGAGCGGTGGCGCAGCGGTTAGCGCGCTGCGTGCGCTGCGAACCCGGCGAGAGCCGTGTTCAAGTGCCGCTCACGGCCACGAACACCCCGTGACAATTATCTTAGCTGGTTCTGGGTCTGCTCTAGGTCGACTCAGCCTCAAGTGTGTACCTGGTGAGGTGTATAAACATCAGCGCTGGGGAGACAAAGGCGACTGGGCGTGGCGATTTCTGGCTTGGGACCCACCACCTCGTGTGTCGTACCGGTCATCACAGGTGCTGCTAATCACTAACAGCACTTGCCCCAACAGTCTGTTGAGGCTATGGTGTCTTGGTGTTAACTACCTCGCCTGGTATGCAGGAGGTACTGAGTTCGATCCCGACCCTGACGATGCCTGTAAAATTGAGTTTGCGTGTTCTCCCCATGACCACGTTGGTTTTCCTCTGCGTAAATCCAGTTTTTCCTTCCGTGTTTACAGACATGCGTTTCGAGTATTTGACTTCTATGAATTTGCCACGCGATGAGTCAGCTCGTTATCATTTCTTGTCCTCCGATGGGCACGGTCGGCTACGTACGGTGCGAAATAAGTTCAACATGCATCGCTACATGTGTCTTTCTGTGGCAAAACGTCTAATAAGACTCCCTACCAAATTAACATTGTAAGCTAGGCAGGATTAAACGGCACGTGGACAGAGTGACAGTGCGCTTAGACCACGACCCTCCCGGACACGTGATCGGCGCTGGGCGTCGCCAGACACGGCGTGGCCTGGTGTCCGATCTTGGAATATTGCGGTGTTGCACGTGGTGGTGTGCGCACGCTGTCTGAGGAGTGCACGTGCTGAGGTGTGCACGTGGTGGTGTGCGCACGCTGATTGAGGTGTACACGCGCTGAGGTGTGCACGTGGTGGTGTGCACGCGCTGTCTGAGGAGTGCACGTGCTGAGGTGTGCACGTGGTGGCGTGCAACGCGGTGGAGTGCACACAAAAATCCCCCCGATCCTTTTGGAAGTCATCATGGGCCGGCCAACGCAGTGCTTTCTCTGTGTCGCACAAGAGCATTGGGGAGGGAAATGCGCGTCAAACTAACGTGTAGCCACCAGACTGGTGGTGTAACATTTGTCTATCGGCGCGTGGGTGTTCGCGTGCGCGCGCGCAGGCCAATCTGCCGCTCCTCCAGCGCGAGCTGCTGCAATGCGCGCGAACCGCCAAGCTGTCCCCGGCTCAATACCTGGCGCAGAACCAGTTCCTGCTACTTGACGTGGGCATCCCTCCTGCTCCTCCTGCTGCGCCGCTAGCGCCCGGCGCGGGAACCTCGTCCCACGGTGGCGGCACGATGGCGGGATCTCACAACCACCACCACCAGCACCACCACCAGCACCACCAGCACCAGCAGCACCACCACCAGAACCACCACCAGCACCACCCACCGCACCACGGGACCGCAACGACGCCGCACCACCACCACCACCAGCAGCAGCAGCAGCAGCACCACCAGCAACAGCATCAGCAGCAGTCACCGTCGCCCTTCGACTCTGCCGAGCCTCTACTGGAGGTCAACGAGAATGGGAAGAGGATTCTGAGTGACAGGTGAGTGTGGGAGGACGAGCCACAGGTGTGAGGGCTGGGGGGGGCAGGTGAGGATTGGGGGGACAGGTGAGGGTGGGAGGGTTGGGGTGAGTCATCCAGACGATGATTCGGCTGGTGGCATCTTCTGTCCTCTGGGCGGTCATGCATCGTCGGATTTATACATGAGTATAGTCCTCTATACTAATGCATAGAGGACTACGTATAGAGGACTGCAGAGCTTGGGAAATTGTTGGTAGCACCGGCTCCTCATTGCGTGGCTGCTGCTGCTGCCATCCCCGATTGTCTGTGGTTCCTCTTCACACCTTTGTGTCTTCCTCTCTCAAAATGCATTGGTTGATAACACCTGAATGTATCGTGGACTGCAGAACTCGGGCAATTGTTAGTAACTCCAAAACGCATGTCGATCCTCAATATGGAGGGGAAAAACCGGAGGACACGGAGATAAAATCCGCGGGACCACGGGGACAGAGACACACAAACCCCAAATATACAGGCATCAGGATCGAGATCGAACCCAGGACCTCCCGCATACCAGGCGAGGGAGTTAACATCTCGCTACCCCGGTGCCTCAGGCACGCCGTTACACCATCCACCGTGCAGGCGAGGAGCAATTCGCTCGCACCGTCGTCGCTGCCCGCCTGCGCCCAACTAACGCCGCTGCCCCTTCCCCATTGCCGCCCTCCACCACAGGGTCAGCCGGGAAAATGGGCTGGGCCACGATGCGCCGAGCAGCAAGCGCCTGTGCCCTCCGCTCGCTCCCCCACCGCCGTCCATCGGCGGCGGCGGCAACGGGCCGCCTCTCAACGGCTCGTCCGCTTCCTCCCACAATGCCCTGGCCGCTCTGGCCTCTCCCCTGGCGCTGGCTCCTCCATTAGCCCCGAGTGGCGGCGGCGGCGGCGGCGCAGGGGTCGCGGGGTCGACGGCGCAGCGCCCGGCGTCGAGCGGAGGGGTCCACGGCCAGTCGGCGGTGGTGGGGCTGTCTCAGCCGGCGACGTTGTATTCGCTGGGCGGCGGCGGCGGCGGCGGCGGGCACCACAGGCGGGCGGAGGAGATGGCGCACGGAGGGAGGGCGGCACACAACATCCCGCACGGAGGGCGGCCATGGCGGCCTCGCCGTCCGGGCTCTACCGGGACGCGGCGTGCGAGATGCGGGAGCACCGGGAACGGCACCACTCGCTCGGTGAGGACTTCTAAACGATAAAACTAACATTTTTCCAGGCAAGGCCCACTGAGCTTGACAGATATTTTTCAGAAGCGACCTGGTTGTCACGAACATTAGCTTAACGAAGTGGCTTATCATAACGATGTTGATTCCAAATGTGGAGGGAAAAATCGGAGACCCGGAGAAAAATCCTTGCGACCTCGGGGAGAGAGAGAACATGCACATGAAAGCTCCAAATATACAGCAGCAGGTTCCGGATTGAACCCACGACCTCCTGTATACCAGGCAAGGTAATTAACATCTCTTAGCCACCGTGATGATGATGAGAGAGACACGCAAACTCCAAACATACAGCAGCAGGTTCCGGATTGAACCCACGACCTCCTGTATACCAGGCAAGGTAGTTCACATCTCCTAGCCACCGTGATGATGATGAGAGAGACACGCAAACTCCAAATATACAGCAGCAGGTTCCGGATTGAACCCACGACCTCCTGTATACCAGGCAAGGTAGTTAACATCTCTTAGCCACCGTGATGATGATGAGAGAGATACGCAAACTCCAAACATACAGCAGCAGGTTCCGGATTGAAGCCACGACCTCCTGTATACCAGGCAAGGTAGTTCACATCTCCTAGCCACCGTGATGATGATGAGAGAGACACGCAAACTCCAAATATACAAGCATCAGGTTCCGGATTGAACCCACGACCTCCTGTATACCAGGCAAGGTAGTTCACATCTCCTAGCCACCGTGATGATGATGAGAGAGACACCCAAACTCCAAATATACAGCAGCAGGTTCCGGATTGAACCCACGACCTCCTGTATACCAGGCAAGGTAGTTCACATCTCCTAGCCACCGTGATGATGATGAGAGAGACACGCAAACTCCAAATATACAGCAGCAGGTTCCGGATTGAACCCACGACCTTCTGTATACCAGGCAAGGTAGTTAACATCTCCTAGCCACCGTGATGATGATGAGAGAGACACGCAAACTCCAAATATACAGCAGCAGGTTCCGGATTGAACCCACGGCCTCCTGTATACCAGGCAAGGTAGTTCACATCTCCTAGCCACCGTGATGATGATGAGAGAGACACGCAAACTCCAAATATACAGCAGCATGTTCCGGATTGAACCCACGACCTCCTGTATACCAGGCAAGGTGGTTAACATCTCCTAGCAACCGTTGCAGCCCGACAGTAGCTCCCGCGTTGGTTGGTGACAGCGTTGCCGCCGCCGCTGCCGTATTCTCTGGATTACAGATGCTCCGGGGAAGTAAGACACCGACAAAGCCCCAAGCGAGCTTTGGCGGGGTTCGTTTTGAGAAAAGGAAAGAGTGTCTTGTAATCGGGAGATCATGGTACTGGTGACGCAGAGCCAACCTCCGCATGGTTACATCGTTACTTGCTATCCCTGTGGACATCGGTGATAAAGTGCTTAATAGCTCATCGAATTCGGCCTCCTCCGGCAGTCTCAATAAAGATTCTGATCATGGTTGTGAACGCGCTGCTTTTACAATGGGGAGAGACGTCTTCTGGGAGATGGTTCCGAACAATGATCACTAAACACATATTCTGAAAGGTATTTGCTACGGAGATATGTCTACCGAGGGATGAACGGGCTATGCTGGTCTACATCAGCAGCTTCCTGATATTAATGATAACGTTAAACTCTGAAGCCGTGTAACTGCCTTTCCCCGCACCTCCAAATCGCACGGTTGGCTGCATATGGTGCGAAAGAAGTTCAATATACATACATACGAAACTAAACGCTCTCTAAAGTCTCTGCCATAAAAAAATGGCGTCTCAACTTGCCGCCTCGCGAGTAGCAAATACAGATGATCGGGGTCAAAGGTTAATGAGGGCAGCCATGACCCCATTCCCATTTCCTCCTCCATCTCTCTCTCCGCCAGCCCTGCCCGTGTCACGTCCCGAAGAGGTGATCGACCACCGCTTGACGGAGCGTGAGTGGGCCGAGGAGTGGAAACACCTCGACCACGTAAGCATGGAGGGTGGGTGGGTGAGTGCGGGTGGATGGGTATGGGTGGTGGAGTGCATTATGGGTGGGTGGTTATTAGTGGGTGAGTAGATGGGTATGGGCGAGTGGGTGGGTATTGGTGGATGGGTACTGATGCGTGGATGAGCATGGGTGGGTATGGGTCGGTGGATGGGTATGGTGGGTATGGGTCGGTGGATGGGTTTGGGTGGGTATGGGCGGGTGGATGGGTATGGGTCGTTGAGTGCATTATGGGTGGGTATTAGTGGGTGAGTAGATGTGTATGGGCGAGTGGGTGGGTATTGGTGGGTGGGTACTGATGCGTGGATGAGCATGGGTGGGTATGGGTCGGTGGATGGGTATAGGTGGGTATGGTTGGTGGATGGACATGGGTGGATATGGGCGGGTGGATGGGTAAGGTGTATGGGTGGGTATGGATGGGTGGATGGGTATGGGTGGGTATGGGCAGGTGGATGGGTAAGGGGTATGGGTGGGTATGGATGGGTGAGTGGGTATGTGCAAGTCGCAGTTGGAGACCCACACACCCCGCTACACCTTCAGCAGCCGTGGCTCAACACTACCTCCTTGTTTCCACGATACTTGGAACACGCGTACCGCTCCCGCGTTAACGACTCCCTCCGTCCCACCCACCGTCCCGCCCACAGCTACTCTCCTGCATCCTCGAGATGGTGGAGAAGACGCGGCGCGCCATCTCCGTCCTCCGCCGCTGCCAGGAGACCGACCGGCAGGAGCTGGCGCGCTGGGTACGCCGCTGCTGCTCCGAGGAGGCCGCCGACCCTCCCGGCGCCGGCGCCAGTGCCGGCCCCGTCGGCAAGAAGAACGGCCTGGGCCATGTCGCGGTCGGAGGCTCCGGCTCCACGCTCGGCTCCGGGTCCGTGTCCGGGATTTCCAAGCAGCAGCAGCTGGCGCCGGTGGTGGCAGCCGTCTCGTCGGGCGGGCTGGCGTCGACCGCGTCGCTGCTTCTGCTGGGTGAGTCGGAAGCGACCGGTGCCGAGGAAGCGGATCTCGTAGAACTGCTTCAGAGAGGCTCTTGGGAAATAAGACTGGCGGAGGAGGCTTGCCTTTCTATCGCGCGCAGAACGGAATAAACATCTCAACCTCGGTGACCACCACCCCCCCCCCCCGCCCCCACAATGGCAGCAGACCCTGTTCGGCACAAGTTGAACACGGCACCAGGGTGGTGGCACGTCTAGCCGCTGGTTGCCGCGGTTTAGTTCCTCGCAGGTTAATGCCGTGGGTTTGTGAATGATGAACACTAAACAGGGTGCCGTCCGCTGCACCACAGTGGACGGTAAAGATCCCGTGACATAATTTGGCAAAGGAGCGGGCCGTCACGGACCACAAGCATCAGGGTCAAAAATATCATTTTTTTATATAACACCGTAAATTACTCAACTGGTAGATCACACAGCAGCGTCGCCCCCGTTACTGTGAAACTAGACCAGCCGCGTGTCCAGAGTGTACGACAGCTTTGATTTGATTTTAAGGTATCATCTCATCGCTTCGTTTCAGACACGCACCAGGAATTCTTGTCGAGGCCAGGAACGCGCTACATGCCCGAAGATATCTGGAGAAAAGCAGGTGAGGACATTTGTAGGCTAATCTGACAGCGAATAAACAAGAGCTTGTGGATTTCCTACGTAGGCTCTCAATGGGCATATGAAAACCAGACGATACAAAAGATTCCTGGCTCCCATCTGCCACCATGAAACTTCTGGGCGGGCTACAAACCCTACACTACATCATCCACTGCACACAAAGCATTGCAGCAGATGAAACAGATAACTTGATGACAATGATGATGATGATGCTGCTGCTGATGCAAAAATGCTAAATTACGAACTCTCCAGGCAGTGTGCGGCGATTGTGATCACCACCCAGAGCAGAACCACGGAACGAACTACAGAGACTCAATGCCTCGATTCGCAAATACGAAGGAGGGATCATCGCAGCGATGATTCACAGATACGAAGGAGGGATCATCGCGGCGATGATTCACAGATACGAAGGAGGAATCATCACAGCGATGATTCACAGATACGTAGGAGGGATCATCGCAGCGATGATTCACAGATACGAAGGAGGAATCATCACGGCGATGATTCACAGATACGAAGGAGGAATCATCACGGCGATGATACAGCACTCCGCCGCTACTCCTGATGTAATTGCCTGGCTCGTTAACCACCTCGGTGTCGAATCACAGCTATGGCCCGATATCAACATCAGCCACGCGAAGAACAGCGATGACAACAACGGCGACAGCGACGGTGATGACAACGATGACGATGTAAACAACGATGACAGTGACGACGACGGCGATAACGACGACGACGAAGATGACAACGGCGATGGCTGCGACGATGACGACGACGACGATTATCTCTCCCCGCGCGCGCCGGGCAGAGGAGGCGGTGAACGAGGTGAAACGGCGGGCCATGTCGGAGCTGCAGAAGGCCGTGTCGGACGCGGAGAGGCAGGCGCGCAGCACCATCGAGGGGGAGCGCGCACGCATGGAGCGGGCGCTCGCAGACGCCAAGCGGCAGGCGGCCAGTGACGCCATCGCCCTCGTGGCGCGGCAGGACGACTCCAGCGAGGTGAGGAGGTGGACCAGGAGGAGAGGGGAGGACAGAGGTCGCAAACGGGTTTTGATTCCTTACCCTACCCGTACCCAGCCGGGTACGGGTAGGGTACGGGTATCGGGTACCTGATTGCGACCTCTGGGATGAAGCCATGTTGCAGGCGCGGGTGGGTTGATTCTAGGAACTTGAATTGTGAGAAGAGACAAGACGTTGGGAAATGAGTGACAAACAGTTACTCACCAGTGACTCACGGCCTACCCGTACCCGGCCGCACCAGGGTCACAAACGGCTACCCGTACCCGCCCGGGTACGGGTAGCCGGGTATCGGGTAGGGTACGGGTATCGGGTACCCGGTTGCGACCTCTGGGGGAGGATGAGGTGGACGAGGGGTGGGGGAGGGGGGTGGTTAGGATGGAGGAGTTGGGGAGGAGGATGAGGGATGGGGGAGTTGGGGAGGGTGAAGTGGAGGGGGGGGAGGAGAAGGAGGATGAGGGGGTGGTGATGAGGAGTGAGGATGAGGAGGTGGACGTGGAGGAGAGGGGAGGATGAGATGGAGGGTAATGGAGGAGCACGCACGCATGGAGTGCTCGCAGATGTGTACTCAGGGCGCGTGTACTCGGGCTCATACTCAGGCTCGTGTACTCAGGGCGCGTGTCTCCTCGCACGCAGAGCTGCTGGAACTGCGGCCGCAAGGCGAGCGAGACGTGCTCGGGTTGCAACACGGCACGCTACTGCGGCGCCTTCTGTCAACACAAGGACTGGGAGCGCCATCACCACGTTTGCGGGCAGCGGCAGCAGCAGCAGCAACCACAAAAGGAACAACATCGTCATCATCAGCATCATCATCAAGCAGCAACAACAACAGCCCAAGGTTGAACCATCTCCACAACCCTCAGCTGACCTCATCGTTCAAACGGCCGGGATCGGTCAAAGGAGGTGGAGGAGGAGGAGGCGGTAGCAGCAGCAGCGGCGGCGGCGGAGGTAGGGTTGGTGGTTCACCGGATGATGGGGTTATCGCCGCCGCTGTCTCTGCCCCGCCGCCACCGCCACGACCCGACTCGCGATCGTGGTGGAGAGCGCAGCGGCGGCGTCTCGCTGAGTTGATGGGCTCCTTGGCCCCGTTCGCCCGCACGACGGCGGCGGCGGAGACGATGTCTGGCCCGCCCGCTGGGGCCTACCGGGAAATGAAACTCGTTACGTTATAAACAAACAAACAAACAGAAACCGCGTGCAGCAGGGTTGTTTTTGGTTTTTGTAAGGGCTTCAGCTTTTTCTTTTTTACACACTTCCGTGATTTGTTGAGGAGTAGAGAGATGTTTCGTTGCTGTTGCTATTGTTGTTGTGGAATCTTGTTGCATTCTAGGAAAGGCTCAGGCGGCTGTGGACAAGGCCTCGGCCTAGATTTTGCATTTCCATGACAACGAAAAATCCCCTTCCCGACACTCCGCACAGGTGGAGGGCGAGGTGGGGGCAAGGTGGTGTGGGGGGGATGCAGGGTGGGGGTGGGGGG